GATCCGAGTTATCAGAGCTCGGGGGCATAAGTCCTATTACGCTATGCCCGAATTTTAAAGGCCAAGTCCACCCCCACTCGGGACTGTCATCTTAGGCAAGCCCAGATAACTTGGGATAATGATATTAACACGGGGAAACACCTAAACTATAAAGGCTACGGCCATATAAACATGGCTCAGAGATGTCCGAGGCCCATAACGAAAACAACAAGGCCTTAAAATTTCTTAACCGGTTCTAAAGGCTACCCTCGGCAGACTATGACTTAAAAAAGTCTAAGTACTTTGGGGGAAAAACTTTCGATCACTCCGAACCCCCACGATGCCTTAAAATGAAATAAAGTTAAAGGCAAGGTTTCTTCGATTCTCTGAACAAAACCCAACTATTTCATGCTAAGAAATTTAGATCTTTGCAAATAAAACTAAATAAGGCAAAGAGAAAAATCGAAAGCTGTTGAAGGGAAAAGCCTTATATTCATAATAAAAAATTCTTTTTACAAGGGCCAAACAACCCGATGAAATTTTTTAAAAGGCTAAACGATCTCAACAAAAGTACAGAAAACAAAAACATCTAAAGGCCCAAGTGCCTAGTCTTCGTCGGGTGGCAATATCATCACCTTCGGGATCTCCGGCACCCTCGAACTCGCCCAAATCTTCGGACTCCTCGTCATCTTCGGGATAGGCCAGTTTTTTGGCCTCGGCTTCAAGCTCTTTGGCACTCTCGATCTCAGCCAATAATTCAAAGGCCCGAGCATAAATTTCCTCAAGGGCATCCCTTCGAGATTGCCATTTAGCGTGCTTAATGATGTCCTTTGCCCGAACCTGAGCCGCCTCGGCATTATCTATAATTACTTTGGCCTCCGACTTGACCATTTCGAGATCTTTGGCCATATTTTCCCGATTAGAGACGGCCAAATTCAACTGGGACTGGAGCTCCTCGATCTTCTTGGCCTGTGTCGAGGACTTCTCCTTTAAAGCTCGAAGCTGAACCTCAGCCGAAGCCAGTTATGCTCGGGCGGTCTCTTTTTCTGAGGCCAGGCGGTCCATGTTCTTTTTCCATTCTTTTGCCTCGGCCTTTACCGCATCTACCTCAGCCCGAAGCTGTCCAATCTGGTCAAGCTTCTGTTGGACCTGCGGGTTCGGACCATTAGCCACCGTATCAGACTCATCTTCACTATCCTCAAAAACTATTATTACCTGCTCGACCAGGTCAACATGCTCCTTCCGGGCCGCCTCCAGCTCAGCTTGGAGTTTCTTCACCTCCCCCTCACGTTACTCACTGAGAAGATTCTAAGCATCCTTCTTCGCAATGAGCTCACGGGTCTCGGACTCATGGTGGTTTAATTCATCTCGATATCAGAGAAAAGTCTCGTGATAGAGCACCGAGGCCTACAAACACAAAGGAAAGGGTTACGATTATTTACGGCTTAATCTAAGTACATAATAAAAAAGGCATCAAGAGGCATACGAAGTTACGCGGTTTGACGCATTTGGGCTTCGTTGAACAGGCAGGGCGCGTCCACCTCATTCATCTTCGCTTGATCCTCTTCGGTCACCAAGCACAGAAGATAACTTGTGATACCCACAAGGGCTGAGAGGACCCGAGCATCCTCCGGAATGGACATAATAATTGTCCGATTTCGGCTAGGATCTGCACTTGGTGTTGGGAATCGGTTTATTAGCTTCGGACTCGAAGAAGGCCCCCCTGGTTCTCGAAGACGGACTCTTCTTTGGTACTGATAAGTCACCCAGCCTGGTGACGTCCTCCGAGGCGGAAGAATCTAAACACTCCAAGAAGTGGTCAAAAAGGTCTGCCACCCCGTGGGACCCCTCAGTTGGGCGTCCTTTTAACACTTGGGCATTATGGATCATGGAGTCGGTAAACAAAGGCGACTCGGAGAGGTCTATCATCCCAATTCCATCCTTCGGGGCATTACCTTATGCCCGAGAAGCGCCAGCCGCAGTATCTGTGTCAGCCTCCCTAACTTGGGGCAAAACGGCTTCGCCCCTCTCTGGTTCGGAGGCCTCAGCCACTGCCTCCTCAACAACCCCCCTGGTTTGAGGCAGTACGATGTTGCCTCGCACGCGGGCCACCAGTTCAGAATTTCCTTCTCTTCTTCAGACTCATCCCTCAGCCGGTAAGTCCGATGGGAGCTCTCGAGCGCTGGTGTTTTCCTTGGATTTGCGCACTAGCCTCCTTTCGGTTTTTTCTTCTCTGAGTTCGGAGAATTCGGAGGCCTTCTCCTCACCCTACCTCGGAGCAGGGGACTCGGCGGGACTATCCTCGTCGCCTGATGGAGGCCTCATTGCAACATCCTTCCCAAGGCCTACAAAGAAAAAGGAAATGAGTAAGGCTGCACAGAAGAGGCCCAAATGTTGTCCACTCTAGGAAGGAATCTTACCGTGAAAATGGGCTTCCCATCGGTCCTTCGAAAGTTTGTGCCATGCACGCTCGGAGTACGATTTCTTGGAGACGATGCCCTCGACCCACTCCATGAGTCGAGGAACTCCATCTGGAACCCGAGCACAACTGCATCACCACCAAACACCGGTAGGAAAGGGAAAACGAGAGCAAAAATATTAAATTCTGGGAAAAGAAGAACTTTACTTACATTTTTTATTCCAATCATCGGGGAACGACATGCCCTCGGCCGGGATCAGGTCTGAGGTCCTCACTCGGACAAATCTGTCTAGCCAACCTCGGTCTCGATCTTCATCAATGCTCGAGAACGGGGCTTTGGTGCTCGGCGCGCAAGTTTGTTTAGTCCCCCTGAAAGAATCGGGGACTATACAGGCACATCAGATGATCAACAGTGAAAGGACATCCATCAATCTTGCTTACAAAGAACCAGAGGAGAATGACTATCCTCCAGAACGAGAGGTGGATCTGACCAAGGCACACCTCGTATCATTTGCAGAACTGGATGATCATCAGGTCCAATGGACCCAACATAAAGGGATAAGTGTAAACACTTAAGTATCTCTTGACATAGGTAGTGATATCTTTTTCGGGCCCGGGAATCACCGCGTCTTTTTTCGGTGCAGTTGAAGTCCTTTATGATCGTAGGGAGTATATCCTCGGTGAACGAGCAAATATACCTCGACACCTTTTCATTTCGGCCCGGAACGGGTGAAGGTTTCTCAACCTTGAAGTCGGCGGTCATCGAGCACCCGCTAGGAATAAACACGTCAATAGGAGGTTCCGCCGTTGGTTCCCGGCTGGCCGGGAAGAAGAAACGGTTTCTTTTTTAGGGACTGCCTTAGAAATCTTCGCCATTTTTTTCTTTTGGATAAAGATGAAGAAGAAGGAGTTAAACGGGCACGCTTAATGGTTCAGACAAGCGGGAATTCTTACAAAGCTCTCAAGAAATCTGGGTATAAGTACTGAAAAATGCAAAGAATTTTTAAGAACAAGAATAGGAAAAGATTAGATGTAAAGTTTGAATGAACGAAGGAGGGGGTATTTATAATTTTCAAACGACGGTTCAAAATCAGGAATGGCCGACCAGCAACTGACGACCATTTAATGCCATTAAGATGTGGCTGACGAGACGTTTCGCCCATTTTGTCGTTTCTAATGCAGGGTATCGAGATGAGAATCGGGAACTCATATCATTTCTCGTCATTTACTCTCCGAAAATCGAGGGGACTGTCTGTACACGGTCGAAATCGGGCTCGTCTATTAGATGACAGATCGGGATTTAAACGTGAACGGTTGAAGATCGACCTCGGGTTCCATCGAACTAGGACACGAGGTCAGAATGTCCGTCTTCAAGGACATCGAATCCATGAACTCGGAACCGACCCTTACACCGAATGAGCTCGAGGAAACATTGTTAAATCGGATAACAGAAGGCCGAAATATCCGTAACCGGACAGATATCACGGCAGGAATCTCGGCACGTATCAATGGGAAATCGACTAACTAGCAAATCTTGAAATTTTTTACCTTTTATAGAATTGCACCTAAAGTAGGACTCCTCTACTATATGAAAGGGGTTTGATTATTTCTAAGGGGTGTGTGACAATCGTTTAGAAGCAAATTTCTCTTTAAGTTCTTATTCAACTGTGGTTGAAGTGCATCCTGTTCAAGGAGGACCCTCCTCCCAAGGCTGCTACTGTCTTATTCGTGTGGTTTGAATTTATTTTATCATACTTTGTTCTAATTGCAATTTAATTTATCGCCTTGCGTCAATTTAATCCGCGTATCCTTAAAATCACTTACAAATTTAATTGTTATCCAATTTTGAGGGTAAACAAATTTCTTTATGTATGTTGAACATTTCTAGTTATGTTACGTTCTATGATTTATTATGTCGAATATGACTTAATCTTATTTCACCTTTTTAAATCTATAAATCATATTCAGCTAAAATTAAACTTTCATATTTGCTAAGTTCATCTCAAAAGAAATATATGTTGAATTTTACAAGTGATGGCAAACAAGCAAAACACTATAGAATATACATTCGACGAGGAAAAATCATGGCGTCTTCCGTCAGCCATCATATGATGAACAATTTAGTATTTTAGTAGTTTTTGTTGTTGTAATTATTAGTATAAATATTTATTACAATAAATACCTCCTAAGCTCATATTTAACTATTTTATATACACATGAGTTGGTGACAATATTGCTTAGTTGGAAGTTCAACCAAACATGACAATGAGAATTACATTGTAATTACGTTTTGGAAAACAAACATACATTGTAATTACTATATTGTGTAATTACTACTCTAAAGGCTGCTATTTAAAAGTAGCCAGTACATCTTGAATTTCAATTTTTCGGGGTTTAAAATTTCAGAACAAAATAAGTATTGGCTAATCTCTAAATAGTATCCATGAGAGTGGCTATCTGTGCACTTGCCCTGAAAATATTCGTTGATAAATTGGGCTGACTTCACAGTCCGGTCCAATAATTTGAAGCTGGGAGGCCCAATAGGGCTTTCTGTATTTCGGCGCGAAAACAAAACCTTCCCGCCATTTATGTCATCATCATCTTCAACCTCATTTTCAGATCTCAAAGCGAGACAATTTCAGCTTACAGGGCACACACACACAAAAAAAAAATGTCGGAGGAGCAGCCAACAGTAGAAGGAAGGCGCTCGAGCAGGAAATCGAGCGGTGGTAAAAGAGCAGAGGCACTCGAGCGGATCAAAGCTCTCAGAAGCGGTGGTCGTCGGTCCACTGAAAACGGCGGTTTACAGGTTAAAATAGAAGAACCGATTTACGATATAGTTGAGGACGACGAGTACAATGACATAGTTGCTAAGCGCCGTGAAGCGGCTCAGGGATTTATCGTTGATGATAACGGTTTAGGGTACGGAGATGAAGGCCAGGAAGAGGATTGGTCAGTTTCCGGCGTTTTATCTTCCGACGGATCAGACGGAGAGAATGAGAAGCCGAAGAATAAGAGGAAGGCCTCGGAGAAGAAGCAGCAAATTACTAAAAAGCCATCGGCAGCTCTTTCAGCTGCTGCGGCATTGATGGGTAAGCAAAGAATTTCTAGTTTGTTTACCTCTTCAGTGTTCAAGAGAGACGATAAGGCGAGGAATTTGTCATGTGATAGCATCGTAGATGATGTTATAGCTGAATTCGCTCCTGATGAGGCTGATAGAGAGCGAAAGCGAAGGGTAAATTCTAACTCTAACTCATTGCAGGCTTCGAGGAGTTCAATTGTTAATTCCAACTCCTTGAATGTCAAAATTGAGAAGCCTGTAGTAGAAAATGTCGATTTCATGGTTAAGCAGGAAGTTAAGAGTGTTACTGTTCAAAATGATGAGACTATATCAGATTTAGCTAAAGATATTCGAGATAGTGAGGTTTTAGATGGTGAATTGAAGCGGGAGAAAGTGGTAGAATCAGGTGATTTGGTTAATGAAACTGTAGTAAATTGTGCTGAAGTGAAGTCGGAGCCCTTGGTGGAAGAGAAGGTGTTTGCACTCAATGCGAAAATTAAAGAGGTAAAGGATTCAGGCTTGAGTGCTACGGCTGGATGGCAGGCTTTAAGGAATGCTGGTAGTGGAGTTTCGAACTGCAATGACTCAGGGGCAAAACTTGTGGACACAGAAGAGAAAACAGATTTTGAGTTGGATTCTGATGGATCATTGCCTTTCTTCATACTTGATGCCCACGAGGAGCTGTATGGTGCAAATGCTGGGAATCTTTATCTCTTTGGGAAGGTACTTCCAAAACCTTTTGTTTATTTACTCTTTCTTTATACTGATTTACATATGCTTGATTCTACCTGAAGATTATACCACTATACAGTCAACTGTTGCTTGGAGGACTTTATTCAGTCTTGGGGCTTGGGAAGTTTGTATGATCAATCTGAAAGTAACAATTGAACAGTATAGCATATATTTTGATAGCTGACAGATGAAATCTGTTATTTGAGCTTAGGTGAAAGCTGGAGGTGCATACCATAGCTGCTGTATCGTTGTGAAGAACATGCAACGATGTGTTTATGCGATTCCAGATGGTTCTGTATTTTGTACTGACACAATCTCAAATCTCTCTAGAGATGTAGAAGAGTCTCGAATATCTCCCTCTGACTTCCGCAGTCAGTTGCACGTAATATCTTGAAGTGCCTTCTCCTTTCATGTGCTTGTATTTTTTCTACATATTGCTCATTTACTCACCCTTCCCCTCTCATATTCGCCTCCAGGAGATGGCATCAGGATTGAAGGCTGAATGTAGAAATAAGCTACTAGAACATAACATCTCAAGTTTTAGTATGGCACCAGTGAAGGTTTGAAGCATAATTACTTGCAAATTTGTTCTGTAAATTGCAACTGCAACTTGCAATATTCTTGTTTTCTTTTCTTTCTCTTCCTTTTTGTTATTCATTGCGTTCCTCTGCTACATTTGCAGAGAAATTATGCATTTGAACGATCTGATGTACCTCGCGGGGAGAATTTTGTCCTTAAGATAAACTATCCATTCAAGGTACATTTGTCATTTCTGAATGTTTTACTTAGTAGTTAGAATATTAAATAACTTACTCTAGCCAAAACATTATGGTTCTCTAATTCCAATTCAAACTATCTTCCAGATTTCCTCTGTTAAGTTACATTTTGGTGTAATGTCTTCGAGTTACCTGTTTTGAATTTTGTCATGCCATGCCTTCCAGGATCCACCACTTCCATCAGATCTCAAGGGAGAAAAATTTAGTGCTTTGCTTGGTACTCATTCCAGGTATGTTTCGGAGGACATTTCAAGTTTACAAGCTATGCATTCACGGTTTTCTAACGTGTATGATATCTGTCTTTACGAAGAGCTTCAATTGCAAAAAGTGACTACTTGTTATATCAATTCAACCGGGTGCTGCATTCTTTAGTGGAAAGTATTAATTGAAAGAGTTTAAGACCAATATTATTTTTTGCATTTTGCCTTAATTTCTCTATGGAGTGTGGTGTGCCTCCAGCTGTGCATCCATCAGTTATACATAAAGACCTCACACCCCTCTCTCTGTGGGCGTGCATCAATATTTGGATATTTCCTTGTTCACTTCTGCTTGCTTTGAATCTCTCGAGTCTATGTGATGTGATCCAACCAGCATTTACTATTTGCAGCGCAATGGAGCTGTTCCTGATCAAGAGGAAAATAAAAGGACCCTCATGGCTATCAATTTTGAAGTTCTCTGGTTGTCCTATTCCTCAACGTGTAAGGCCATCAAAGCGGTTTTAAATCCCCTAATTTGTCTTCAGGTGGTTCACCTGGTCTATACTTCTGAACTTCTTTTTGATCTGCACAGGTGAGCTGGTGTAAATTCGAGGTCATTGTAGATAGTCCAAAGGACATTCAAGTCTCCACGTCCTCTAAGAATGTTGCTGAGATTCCTCCAGTGGTTGTTACATCGATAAATCTGAAAACTATCATCAACGAGAAGCAAAACATAAATGAAATTGTCTCTGCATCTGTCATCTGCTGTCAGAATGCGAAGGTAAGGTCCATGAGGCTAATAACTTTTACCAATCACGGTCTGATCAAAGACATTTGCTTTTAGGATTTCAGAAGGCAAATTTTTCTTCTTTTTTATAGTAAAAGGAATTATTGGATCTTCTGATGGTATTGAACTCATGCCATGCATTTAAAAATGTAAATGGACCTCAACCATGTGTAATACCTGAGTTGCCATCTGTAAATTCTTTAGTGCATCATGTCTGGAAATTTAGTCTCTACATGAATATGAGTTATGAAGTAATTATGGTAAATCAGGTCGAGGGAAACGAGATTTAGGTTGCGGAGTATCTTTCAGCATAGGGTCTTTTTCCTAGGGGTAGTTAAATCTTTGCAGTTTACTGGGGATTTTTTGGCTTGGTCAATCTTGTATGACGCACATGATGGTAAATAGGGAGCCCTGCATCATTTACTTGTATGATGATCGGAGTGAAACAGTACTTGTATCATAATCACACACATGAGTTGCATTCTGATGTATTAGGGTGTGCTATCTTCTTTCACACCCAGATAATCAACTTGCAACACACATGCACATATTCATGAGGTAATTTTGAATTGCAATTCTGAAATTAATATCCTTGCTTGGTGATCAGTAAAATAAGAATGTTAGAGCGGGTACCGGGCCAAGGAAAAAAGACACTTTTAGTTTGCTTGATGTGGAAACTGCTTGACAAGAATTTCCTTGAAGTTTCACTAAAGAGAGCATATGTTGATTTTGCAGATTGATGCCCCCATGTTAACATCTGAATGGACAAAGCCTGGGATGCTTTCTCATTTTACTGTTGTGTGTAAGCTTGAGGGAGGCATATTTCCTATGGGATTTACAAAGGAAGCAGCAGAGAGAAATGCAAAAGCTGGATCAAATGTTATTAGTTCCGAGAGCAGGCAAGTTCATTGGGTAATCATGTTATTGTCTATACCTTTATCTGTTTCTCCCTTGAGTTACTTAAGTGTTGCTTTCTCTCTTTGAATACCAGTGAAAGAGCATTATTGAACCGGTTGATGATCGAGTTGCATAAACTGGACAGTGACGTGCTTATTGGCCATAATATATCTGGCTTTGACTTGGATGTTCTTCTTCACAGAGTTCAGGTTTGTATATATTTGATTGGCTCCACCTTTCATAGTAGTAATTTCTCAAAAACTATAGAAGACATGATTCAGCAGAATCTTCTGTTTCTATTTTGAATCTTCATAAATTACTCTCACTGAGTTCAAGTCAGCATTGGTAGGTAGCTTTTCTTCCTACTTATGCACAAAGGTATTGAAATTTTCAGATTAATGCTTAGCTTTAAATGCTATGAATTTGCAGTATTCTTGGAATAAGAAATTAAAGGTTTTCAGTAGTTCTTGATTCTGAGAATCAAACATGTAGGATATATCTGCCTGCTTATTGTTGCTTGGCTGCTATATATTATTTGATTTTCTGCAGGCCTGCAAAGTCCCAAGCAGTATGTGGTCAAAAATAGGTCGCCTTAAGCGTTCTGTCATGCCAAAACTTACCAAGGGCAATACAATTTTTGGCTCAGGAGCAAGTCCAGGGATCATGTCTTGTATTGCTGGGCGTCTCCTATGTGATACCTATTTATCTTCTCGTGAATTATTAAAAGAGGTAGAATTCCGATTTGTAAACTATATTTGGGATAACTGCCTATAACTTTTTGACTCACGTAACTTTTGGTTTAACTATATCCAATTTCAGGTTAGTTATTCATTGACACAACTTGCAAAGACTCAACTGAACAAGGATAGGAAGGAGATTTCTCCACACGATGTGCCTCGAATGTTTCAGGCTGCTGATTCACTTGTGGAACTTGTAGGTTCTGATTCTGGTTTATCAACTTTTCGAATCCTATTGCTCTCATTTTTATTAGCATAGCGATAGTGATCTGTTGTTTAGGTTTAGTATGGGATTTTCTGTCAACAATAAGAGAAGTATTAACCCATTGCATAACAGATTGGCGTGCTGCATTGTGCCATTTATTGTCTTGCTGAACGAAGTTTAGAATCCATTGTACCACTCCATAACCAACGAAAATTACTGCTCATGGGCTTTTCAACAGCTAGAAACAAAATAATAATGAAGTTCACTTGTCGAAGAAATATAACATAAGCACGCCTTTATGCGGTTTACATACCTGAATAAACTAGCAGAATGATCTTTTTACTAACAGATTGTCATGGATCAGTTGCTTTGCAGCTCTGGATTTTCTATTCATTTCTAGTTAATCTTTAAGCCTGTGCCTTGTCTCGTCCTTCTGAAATGAAGTGTTGACCTAATAATTTTCTCTAATACACACACAGAACTGATATCCTTTTGGGCATTTGTGATCTGCGCAGATTGAATGCGGAGAAACTGATGCATGGTTATCAATGGAACTCATGTTTCATTTAAGTGTACTTCCCCTAACTCGTCAGTTGACCAATATCAGTGGTAATCTTTGGGGGAAAACTCTACAGGTGAATTATTAAAAAACCTACTTCATGTTCATGAGACCAACTTTGTGGATGTTATTGTGGGTATAGTCAACGTTATCTTTTTATTTCAGGGTGCTAGGGCCCAAAGAGTAGAGTACCTCTTGTTGCATGCATTCCATGCCAAGAAGTTCATAGTGCCAGACAAATTTTCCTCTCATGCAAGAGAAGCTAAAATTACAAAACGAAAGTTGAACCACGGTGATGAGGGAAAAGAAACTGTTCCTGTTGATGCTGATGATCCAAATATTGAAAGTGGGATTCCAGATGTCCAACATGGGAAAACAAAAAAGGGGCCTTCCTATTCAGGTGGATTAGTTTTGGAGCCAAAAAGAGGTTTATATGATAAGTACATTCTGCTACTGGACTTCAACAGTCTATACCCTTCCATTATTCAGGTTAGTTATTTTTAATACATTTCTCTCATTCCCTCACTCATATTTACCCCTCATTCCTTCTCCTCCCCTGCCCTCTTTTCTTTTGAAAGGGGGAGCATTACCTGAACTTCTGCTACAATGTGAGCTACTAGGTTGGTTGGAAGGTTCAATTTTTTATTTATTTATTGCCAAGTGATGTCTATTGCTCGAACAAACCCTTGTATCTGATATTGCAAGTTTTATACTTTAATTTCCTCTTTATTTCTTTTCCTCTACAGGAATACAATATTTGTTTCACAACAGTTGAAAGGTCTCTGGACGGATCAGTTCCTCGCTTACCATCAAGTAAAAGGACGGGACTTCTACCAGAGGTAAGCACAGTCTATTGCATATTTTCGTAACTCCCTGAGTAGAATTTGGAAGAAAGCGCAAATTTTCCAAATTGGCTTCTGAGAAATAATTAAACTAAACGATTTTGCACCTCCTGATCTTCTATGATCATCAAGTGAATGCCTTGGATAATTCACCCCAAAAAAGTTAAGGGCTATTTGGTGCCTTAAGTTTTACTCTGAAGCACAATTTGACATACACGTACTCTGTGTATGCGAATTTTTGTTGGTTTTATTCAAAATACTGTTTCAATATTCCATCGCACTTTGAGCTGGTCTTTCTTCGGTTAAATCAAGACTTCTTTTAAGTCTATGGTTACTTGCAGATAGAAGTAATTATACAGCTCCAGACAAAATTTGAAGGTGATACATACTCACGACTTTTTGCGGTGAATCTTGCAGTTGCTTAAGAATTTGGTTGAGAGGAGAAGAATGGTCAAGTCATGGTTAAAAACAGCATCTGGCCTCAAGGCCCAACAGTTTGACATACAGCAACAAGCTCTGAAGCTTACAGCAAACAGGTCTTAGCCTGTTTTTGTTATATACACACGCACATTGTATATACTTGTGCTACTTGATGCATCATTATCATATTATTGGAGATATTTTTCCTGAGGTGATAAATTTTGCTGCAGTATGTATGGATGCCTAGGATTCTCCAATTCCAGATTCTATGCGATGTCGTTAGCCGAGCTTATAACCTCACAAGTAGGAAGCTCACTTTTCCTAAACTGTTGTATGTTTTATTTAAGCAGATTATGACTGCATGTCTGACATCTCTATTTTGTTTTGTAGGGAAGGGAAATTCTACAGAGTACTGTTGACCTAGTTCAGACTTCACTAAACCTGGAGGTTTTCTTCTTGTGCAATTTGCTTTATTTGCTTATCCTGCTTACATGTCAAAATTGGTCCTTGAACCCATTGTTCTTTTATGAATCAGGTTATCTATGGTGACACAGATTCAATTATGATTTATAGTGGACTTGATGACATTGGAAAAGCTAAAGCAATAGCAGCCAAAGTTATTCAAGAGGTTAGTATTGGCTGCATACTTTCTTTCTTTTGGGACTAATTCTGTATGTCGGGTGACTTCTTAAAGAAAAATAAAGAAACTTGTACTTTCTACCTCATGTACTGTGGAAGCCTACTTCTTGTCTCACTATTCTATGATAGCACTTGCACTTTTTTACCTTTCTTTTCTTTACGAGCAAAGCATTTTTCATTGCCTTATATTAGATATCTATTACTTAAGGATTTAAGATTGTACATACTGATATATTTGTAAGGAGACTTTGTCTAGTTGCAGTCTCACCATAGGGATATAATGTAGTAGTTATACTGACACTAGAACAATGAATTCGTCTATATATTTGTGTTAGGGAGATCCAATAAGCCTTTGTGCTTTTATTCACAGTTGTTAGACTCATTATATCACACAAATCAACATCGCAGGAAAAGGTATCCAACCAACTTGAAAGCAGAAATGGAATCCGCACATAATTTTACTGGCCAGAATGGCGTAAATTGTTCTAATTATTTTGTGCTCTACCATGAAATGATACGATATGCAAAACTGCATACTCTCTTGTATTTTGAGAAGATAGATTCTTGGAAATTGATCTGCTAGGTTTTAATTATCTTCTAAATCAATTAGAATTCATCACGTTAAGTTCCTCCTCTTTTATAGGTTAACAAGAAATATAGGTGCTTAGAGATTGATCTTGATGGTCTGTACAAGAGAATGCTGCTTCTCAAGAAAAAGAAATATGCAGCTGTAAAGGTGCAGTTTAAAGACGGGAGACCCTATGAGGTAGCTACTGCATGCTACTTAAAGTTGAAATCCTTTTGATATTCTTTCAAATAATTCCCTAACTACTCCATGTCACTGACTCTTTGGTGTAGGTCATTGAGAAAAAAGGTCTTGATATGGTGCGTCGTGACTGGAGTTTGCTGTCAAAGGAATTGGGAGATTTTTGCCTGAGCCAAATACTGTCCGGCGGGTACATTTTGTTGTGAACTTGTTTCTTTCTCCTATTCATATCCTCATATATGTGATTTGCTCAGTACTGAATGGTTTACGTGTCTTTAATGGTTGCAGGTCCTGTGAAGATGTTGTTGAATCAATACATAATGCACTTATGAAGGTAACATTCACGATGATATGGAAAATCATAAACCAGGAGCTGAATGGCTCCTTAAGTTTTCATAGTGAGCACGGTTTAGTTTATATTATAGGTTATACACTTTAGAATTGACACTATTTCCAGGAAGGCTCTGAGCTTGTGGCGTCTCTTTAGGGAGTTCCACCTTTATAAAGTAGGTTCCCCCTACCCTCTTTGCCTCAATCATTGAGCGGCGACTGCTTTCTACCATACATCCTCTGTGCATCTCAACTATTTTCTTGCTAGTGCATTGTTCCAAAATTTGATGTGCTGCCTGGAATCTATATCTACAGCCAGTCTTCATTCTAGTAGAGGGAAAATCCAGCTGCTACTGTTAGCAGCTTGAGAGGCAATCAGCACAATTTAGTTTTATTTTTGTGAACTGGTCCTAATACCAACTTACTGTGATTATCCTTGAATTTCTCTGTTCTACCGCAGGTACAAGAGGATATGAGGAATGGGCAAATTGAACTGGAAAAATACGTGATCACCAAATCGTTAACTAAACCACCTGAAGCCTATCCTGATGCTAAAAGTCAACCTCATGTTGAAGTAAGTACAAAAACTTCTTTGTCAATTCATGTGTCACCATTTAGCTTAATTTCAAACTAAGATTTAACATTGTCGTCCTCTACGTCTCCTGTAGGTAGCACTTAGGTTGAAGAAAAGTGGCTATGTCACTGGTTGCTCTGCTGGTGATACAGTACCATATGTCATCTGCTGTGAGCAGGTCTATTTCCTATTATTGGGTCAATGATTAAATCCTGCTTATTCTTTTCGCTTCTGTTGACTTAAAAATGCAGTTCTTTCACACATTTGCAGGGGAATGGTTCAAGTACCTCTGTGGGGATTGCTCAGCGGGCAAGACATCCTGATGAACTGAAAAGAGACAATGGAAACTGGATAGTTGACATTGACTATTACCTTGCACAACAGGTCTTTGCAGTCTACTTATATTGATCTTCAATTTTACTGGGTTTGTGTTGGTTTCTTATGCTGTGCATATTTCATCACTCCACCTAACTGTGAACCATTTTCAATGTCACAGATACATCCTGTAATATCTCGTCTATGTGCATCAATTCAGGGTACTAGCCCGGCACGTCTGGCTGATTGCTTAGGACTAGATTCATCCAGGGTAGGCAACTTTTCAATGACGTATTTCAACATGGCATAGTCTTGACAAATAGCTTACTGATTTGGCTTTCTTGGTCAGTTCCAAAATAAATCAAGTGAAGCCGTCAATGATGATCCCTCAAACTTGCTTTTGTGTGCAGCAGATGATGAAGAGAGGTATCAATTTCTTTCAGAGAAGTGTTCTAAACAATTTAATAAACTTGACGCATGATCATGCATTTGTTTTTTGAGAGATACATCACAAAATGCTTTTGGGGGGTGTAAGCGGCATTTTTTCTCAATCATCTTAAGTGTTTCACTAGTTATAATAAAATGAATTTTAGGCTTTAACAAGTTTACTTTTTCCTTTTATCTTTAGTACAGGTTGAAGATGTTTTCCTTTCACACTTTTTTTCCTGCTTCACCTCTCTCTCTCTCTCTCTCTCTCTCTCTCTCTCTCTCTCTCTCTCTTTCTCTCTCCCTAGTCTCACTCAGTTTTGAGTTTACATTTTAAAATGCTATCTTGTGTGCTATATGAACATTCAAGAAAGAAACATAATTTTCTTCGGACAATCCTAAATGCAGATATCGGGGTTGTGAGCCTTTGACTTTGACATGCCCCAGCTGCTCCGGCTCTTTTGAGTGCACACCTATATTTAGTTCTATATGTTCATCAATTAGTCAAAAGCCAGCAGACACGCAAGTAGGAGGGGCTCCCAGCAAGTTCTGGGAAAGATTTAGCTGTCCCAAATGCCCAGAGGAGAGTGAGGGGAATATATCAGCGGCGTTGATAGCAAACCAGGTACTTCTGTGGTTCTCTCTTGGTGTTATGTTAACTTTCCCCTGATTCCTTACTTGGTATCAGTCTCATTTTCTTGCATTATCTACCTTTCATTTCCATGATTTCCTCTCTTCTTTTGGCAATTGTCATCTTTTTTAAGTTATATCAGGGCGTTGAAAAAATGTCACTTGAAGGATATTTTTGCTTTGTTTTATTTGCTTGTTCATTTGACTGAAAAAGAAAAGAAATTCTATGTTGATTTACATATATACGCTATATAACTAGTAACAGGCCGATTGATACATCTATGCTGTAGACTGATGCTGTAGTGCCCATCATTGACAGGTTAAAAGGCAAGTAGAAGGCTTTGTCTCAACATACTATAAAGGAGTGATGATGGTATGTGCTTTTATATTTTATAACTATTGCTCTGACGAGCTTGCTAGACATCAATAGTCTAATTAGACCATTTTATTCTTTTCAGTGCGATGACGAAACTTGCAACTGCACAACTCGTAGCCTGAACCTGCGAGTAATTGGGGACTCTGAGAGGGGAACTGTTTGTCCAAATTATCCCCGTTGTAACGGGCATTTACAAAGACAGGTTTACTTTCTGATATATAGCTTGATTCCTCTGTTTAGTTAACCTGCAGTAATTTTTTAGCTGGTTCTGATAAACTTTTGCACATTGCACCCTGGCAGTATACTGAAGCAGATCTTTACAGACAACTTGCTTATTTCTGCTACGTCTTAGACACTGTTCGCTGCATAGATAAGGTTGTATCTAGCCCAGTCTGTGAATTCGTCAAAATGGTATTTCGTTTTTTGTTTTTTCCCCTCCGGCGAATAAGTTGCTAATCTAGAAATGGTCTTTTGAGTGGCAGGTAGAGAGTAACATGAGAATACAAGTAGAAAAGGAGCTTGCTAGGATACGCCCCGTGGTTGAAGCAGCAGCATCAACCGTACAGAAGTTCCGGGATAGATGTGCCTACGGGTGGGTGCAGCTTAAGGATTTGACTGTCTCATTCTAGCAAGTCTAATACTACCAATATTGTGATGTCTCGTGTAAATATTAAGAAAAATGTCTAGTTGGCATCGGAACAAGCAAACCAACTAGCAGAGCAATGAAATTCCATTATTATTTTTCATTAACTAAACTGAAACTCTTTGCAGTCACTGAATTAGCCACACTTACCTTAATCATAACAATATTCTGTGCTCATAGATTACGTATTCCGTTTTATCCCCTCATCTTTGAGAAAGTATTTCATTGAGGCAAAGAGCAAGCGGAAGAAAAACAACTGCACTTTTATTGACTTTTACAAATTTCAAAAGGCTTATACATTTGACTCGTAACAGCATCAGAAAGAAAAAGAAAAGTACTTTGCTTTGGTTGGTTTCTTTATGTAAAGTTTTAGACTACATGAGGAAAAAGATACACATTGCGGAAAGCCTAGAAAGACTCTTTTCAACCAACGGATGTTCCAGTTTAAGTCCTCAAACTATTCATTTATGGTCACTGCAACTCGCCCACAGGTGCTTCATTGAGCCAGAGGAAATGGATGAAATCATACAACTTTGCACTCACACTGACCTGCTCAACAAATATGCAATCAAAACCAGCAAAATGAAAAACAATGCTTCAGTCAAAAATTCATTAAATCTGAAGAATCTGCGGAAGTCGCTCATTTGCTTCTTACCTTATATGGTGTTGGGTTCAGCCTTCTCATGTGATCTGATCGCATTTTATCCAGTTGTTCAATACATCTTTCCCTGATCTCCTTCAACGGAGGAAGATCTTCTCTTGTTTTATCTTCAGAAATGACGAACCAATATCCGTTAGTCAACATTGTGTATAAACTGTAGGAGCATGGTAATCATCAAACCCTACTTAAAAGTAAATGGTTTGGTTGTTTTGAAGCTAAAACCAACGTGATTAAACAGGATATGTCGTAAGAAGTATGTTCTACCAGTTCTAAGCAGAAGTAGTCAATTTTCCATGTCTCGCTGGAACTTAATAATGTCGCCAACATAGGCTTCCAACACATAATTTGGAATTTACGGTAAAGTATGGTCATGCTTTTGCAGAAAATAAATAATTCAAACCAAAAAGTTAATACATTTGGAGAGATAACAACTCCTACCTGAATTTCCAGGCCAAAAGCACTTTAAAAGCTCCTCAACACGCTGGGGCACCACATATGCCCTTTTAGATTCACTAAATGGGTGGCGGCACAAAATTCGTTCACCTACCTGTCAAATTGCAGGAATTTTTTTTTGCCCATTATCTTTCTTTTGTACCCACAAACTAATTTCTAAATAAATATTGATAAAGGAAGAAATATCAGGAAGAGCTATTAGGAGCTTAACAAGGCAAGCCTCATAAATCACCTTAGGCTGTGGCTCATTTTCGCCAGTCATTATGTCTACCAGGGCGTATCCTTCCTTCCCATACAATCTATAACACCGCTTTTTGCATGGAATAGAGACCTAGAAACAAAAAAGTTATGAACTTCTGCACTGAATCTAAATGCCAAATGAATATCCATAGCTTCACCAGACCTTTGATACGTCTTCAGAAAGTTTGATTCTAGGCTGATTGTTTATTTCAACTAACTTGAAAACAACACCAAGAGCAGCTTGAGCATAACAGGTAACCAAATGAGTTCCAATACCAAATGCATCAACCTCATGACCCTGTTTAGCAAATAAGTTAGTTGATGCAGCTTTCCTGAGGGAGAAAACCGTAAGTCAACAGGTATGAGAACCAACATTCAAGCTATAAACTCAAATTAATTTGAGGGTTCTATAGTGAATAGACATCAAGTTAGGTAGAGTACTCACTGCTCATGCCTCCATAATCCAATGTAGGCAGATTTGGTCTTTAAACAATTCCATTAACCAGGAGTAAGTGGAGATGTGATTTTATCTACCAGTAATGAGGTTATTGATTTATTTCTACATGAATTGTTTGTGTCCACAAAATCACGAGGGGGCTATTTAAGCCAACTTCATACATTCAAGTTAGAGGATATTTCCTATTCATACTTCATTCACAGCTGATAGAAATATATGCGTTGAAATACATTTACTAGCACTTCGAGGGTATGTGTACCCTTAATCCAAATAATGGCACCAGATTAACAACAAAGTGAAGCATAAAAAGACAGGGAGGTGTCCACTAGACTACAAATTATTCAGAGACTAGACCATAAAAAATAGAATAACATAGCACAAGTAGTAGTCCTCATGATCTTACTTGTTTATTTAGTGCATCCAGAGTTTCCTCATTAAGGTCATTGCTAGCTGTGATGTTCATCTTTCCAAAACCAGGCAATCCAAATTCTTTCTCAATAGCACGGAAGAATTTCCTAGCTTCACATGACTGATAAGCAAGATCACCAGAGTCTAGTCTAATGCCCACAGCTTTATACCTGCATATTGTACGAAAATGCTAAAAAGCCTGAAAACAAAATATAGAAGGCATGGGTGCAAAAGAGCAAACAAATACACTAGAAAATTACCAACGGAAGGAAGAAACAGACAAGTTTAAACAAAGTAACATTTCAGGCTTAAAGAAATACATTGCTCAAAAAATAAATCTATTGATTAGAAGCAAGGGGAGATATGTCGAGCTCTATTCAAAAAATTGTAAAGCTCCGGAGAAATTATGAAATAGAACGGTCTGCACTACCAGTTGTAAATAAGTAAATAGCTTTCATTAATAGCACATGAATATGGTTTGAGAAAAAATATATGTACAAGTGATTGTGTGGTTCATAGCGGGAGCTTAGTGCACCGGGCTGTCTTTTTTTTTTTTTTGATTGTGTGGTTCATCAAATTAAGAGGTCCACATATATAAACCTTCTTTTAAATATGGACAATACCTCCCCTCTCCTAGAAACCCCTTCAACCCAGGAATCAATGATGGCCCATTCCTACTTCCCTCTCTTGGTAACTTGAACTCCAATCCAGGTTACATATATACACAACATAAATACATATCATCTTGAAAGTACGAAGAGGAAAGGCACATGTTTCTCAACCTAAGATGAAGTGCTCCCAGGCAAAAGGCCATAGTACCTTTAATAAACCTGGCCAAGGTTGCCTGTTTGTGCTTTTTGCTTTATAAAACGATATTTAGGCGGGGGGTTTCACATTTTCTATTTCAAAATCCTGTGTTTTCTTTCTAGGCTAGTTATTCTTTCACGTTCGTTAGTATAATAACACAAGCTTAAATATATCAGATAACCAAATAGCAAAATTAGAAATTCTGGTTGGCATATCCTTTTATAATCCATGAGAATATTATGACACTACACCATCCAACAAATTAAGCATCATACAAGAAGCAGAGACATGCAGAAAAGAAAGGCCCGTTTACAATCTAAATAGAATCATGCAAAGAGCTTACCCCAAATCATTAAGTGCAAGAGCAACTGCACAAAAATTTGGTATCCCACTTCTCATTACCTGTTAAAGTACATGCAAAAGTTATCAAAGGTCTAGACCAACCAAAAAGTTCGATCACCGTCGAAGAACATTGTAATCAAATAACAAAAACATAGCCAGATACTTTAATATCATGAGAAAGGTAGAGTTCTCTTTCAGGATAGATTTTGCTGTCTATGATACTAACTGAAATTAATGCAATTGTTGACTATGGTTTTTTGCTCTACCAGCTACATGTGCATAGTTCTAGATGGCAACGCAAACTATCTCAGAATCAGAGGAACAGCACAAGGAACTGCATAAGCCGACAAGTTGTACTTACATCATAAGTGTCTACAAGTGCCAAAAAGCTTCCAGGAAATGCGAGTGCATATGAGGTGAAAGCTGCTAACTCACTTTGGTTTGTCTCACTGAAAATTCCACCTAATAAGTGTGACCACTGAAAAGATCAAAGAGTCATCACATCAATGATATCCATGCTCAAAATGGAAGAGAAGCAGATTCTAGAGTAATGCCCTGTACTGATAGAGAACCAGTTGTTTTGATATATCAAAAAAAAAAACAGAAATACTCTAATGATGTAGATTTTTGAAATCTGTACAAGAATTAAGGAAGGCCTACATAAGATTCATGGTAGTTTTATTTTCCAGCATCACTGTCAGAGTACTAAGAGAAGACTCTCACAATTAATGATTTTTTTTTTGATAAGGACAATTAATGAAATTATTTCACCATAATCAACCATAAAAAACATATAGATTTTATTGTGTAATGGTATGCAACCTCTAAGTAGCATTATCTATTCATTTTGGGGGTCATGGGGCATTATTAGCTACCTCTGAGAGCACATATCACCTGAAAGGACACAGTTTGTCTCAGTGGAATCAAACCCTAGGGAGCACGCTTTAGGCACATATCCACAAAGCTGGCTATGAATTCAGCTATCTCTAGGGGTTAAGCAGAATTAGATATAAGAATATAGAAGTCTTACTACTTTTTGGCAATTAAATGGTACATAGGGAACATAGAGTCCATCAGGTTTTCTACATTAGGCCTACTTTGTTGAAGACTGACAAGCATTAACAGTCTGACATCAATTGAATTGGATCAAACTGTGATGGTTTGAATTTTGAGCAAGTGTTGTAGGGAAGATTAGGAGCGCTGATAGTGATGGAAGGGTGAAAATTGAAGTCAAAGCTAAATGATACTTTGAATTGAACGAGGTAATAACATTTTTTTTATGAATGAAAGACGTAACAACAAAATAGAGAACCAATTTGATTTATCATAAAGAACTACATGAAATGGTCAAAATCCAAGAATAGACCAAATGGAGAACTTTTACTGATCGAATCAAAAAAAGACCAAAAGGAAAACTTCTATTAAATTTTGATGATCCAGCTGGTAAATCAAAAGAATGAGATAAACAGCTGAATTTGAGTTAGGCAATACCTTTAATTTATTAAGCCATGTCTGCACCAGACTAACGAAATCTTCACAAACACTAGAACCATCACGATGTTGAAGTGATTTCTCTATGATCTCATCCGGGCTCTGCATTATAAGGATTAAGTTAGATAGCAGAGGACTTAAGCAAGTAGAAGATGTTGAGTGCACAATCCAGAGCAAAAAAAGTTCTAGGCATAAAGAAGCAACACGACAAACAATTTATAGTAACAAAACTTGAAATTAGCATCCACGAAGAAAACATGACTTGATGAGCT